TTGACTGGGTTTTTGAGTGTTTGAAAAATCCCTGAAAAAAGGGTCTTTAGGACAGGGCCCTTTGGACTTAGCGATTTGAGTCTGGGATTTTGGATTTGATTTGGATTTTGGATTTGATCTAGATTTTGAGTTTGATTAATTAAGTTTGATTTATCCAAATCATTTATGATCATTTGGAGGATCATAATTAATTGGATAATGTTAAAGTTTGATCAGAAACAAGATCACGGTTTGAACTGGAGATTAAGATCTTAAACTGGACTGGAGTCTGGATTTTAATTGAGGTTTGATTTGAATTGAGATCTGGGTTAGCTTAAGGCTAGGATTGGTTTGAAATTTGAATTGATCTGAGATCTAAATTAATCTCAAGGTCTGGATTGATCTAAGGTCTAGGTAGCTCCTAAGGACTGAGAAGATCATAGGGTCTGGATCTAGGAGAATCTTAGGGTCTAGTATAGATCCTAAGGTCTGAAGTCTAGAAAATTCCTAGGGTCTAAAGTAGATCCTAAGGTCTGGAGTCTAGAAGGATCCTAGGACCTAGAATAGATCATAAGGTCTAGATTTGTTTGGAAGAATCCTGGAGACTAGAGTAGATCCTAGGATCTGAAGTCTAGAAGAATCCTAGGATCTAGAATAGGTCCTAGGGTCTGGAATCTAAGAAGATCCTAAAGATTAGATTGGTTTGAAGATTAAATTGATTTAGGTTCAGGATTAATCTGGAGTCTGGGTGGGTCACTAATGACATCATACAAAAATGAGGTCAACAAGGAGTGCGTCCGAGGCTCACTGAATATGCATGATGGTTCTATAGTGGTTGATATGCTCATACGGGTCGGACGTCCCGTCGTAAAACTCGATGCTGGGTACTTTGAATCCAATCGGAATGGGGTGCTGAAGAATGGCTTCAGTTAGAGGTGATGACTCCTAGAAGTCCCTCTGTCGGAGAATTTGCCTCACATCTCCTCGGGGGAACTCTTCTCATACTAATCTCCACAGTTCATGACGTAGAGCATTGTGAGAGAGCCCAGTAACGTGTGGTTGGGCTGAGTCTTCTGGGATATCTGAAAGAATGCGAGGTTGCCGAGTTACGGGCGAAGGATGTGTAGAACTTGCTGTATCAACAAGTTCGTTATCCTGGCGTGACTGTGGATGTCTTTTTGGCATAGGAGGATGAATCTACGCTTGAAGATGTTCGAGTTGAACATCTTCGGCAGTGATGGAGCTCAAGGGAGAAGAACTTCCTCTTGCTGTGGTAATGTTGGCTGTCGAGACTCTCGCAGGAGTTGAAAGATCTCGTTCTGAGATTCTTCCATTTTTCGGATTCTCTCTTCAAGTGAAGGTCCCGAGGTTCCTTCTCCAATGGCGTTTTTTCCCCCCAGGATAGAAAGAGGCAGATATCGGGTGTCTATGATTCATAGACTGATTTCTGGACTGGTGAGAGTTGGAGCGAGAAGCTCCAACGATGTTATTGCTACGTCTGTTGATCATCATAGTAATACTTGGAGTTATGGAATAAGATTTTTGCATACGGCGCCAAACTGTTGTGGGCTAGAATATTCCCGGCGGTAGAGTTAGAAATTTTTGTCAGAGCATTGTACGAATATCTAGCACACAATCAGAAGATAAAAGAACACCATGATTTTTACGTGGAAACCCTAAAAGGGAAAAAACCACTGGGCCATGCCCAGTTGAAAATAATTCCACTAGTATTTGTTTGAAGTACAAAAGGCTGATTTCTCCTTAAAATTTAGGGAAAATAGCTTATAATGCTTCACTTCCGGATTTGAGATCCAATTACAACGTCGGGCAGGGTTCTGGCGTCACTTGGAGATTGAGCAGAATTCTGGCATCGGGCAAAACTTTGGCGTCACTTGAGCGTCGGACAGAACTCCAGCATCGTTCAGAAGTCTGGCGGATTTCCGGCATCGGGCAGTACTCTGGCGGTGGTCGAGAAGGAGTTATTCCCTCCTATCCTTCTCTTCTTCTTCTCTTATTCTTCTCTTCTTCTTGCTTGGGTCCCCTCTCATGAGAAATGATGGGTCTATTTATAGATTTTCTGGAGTGACATAGCTTGTAAATAGGTGTGAGATCAGGGGCAAATAGGGAGTGGTCGAATGTACGGTTGATATTGAATCCCTTGATCATGCACCGTTCATCAGACATTTGAAGGTCTTAATGATGTTGGAATTCGACGATCTTGGGCTCGTTGGATTTTCCTCGTCGAGCCGTTTGATTCTACTATAAGCTCGCTAAAATCGGAGACCGTTTAGTAACTCAAATTGTGGTATGAACTTTCCAACAGCACTTCGAGTGCTTGATTTGGGCTCATTTGGGCTCGGATTAAGTTGAATTTGGTATCGTTGGGTTCGTATTTCCAAGACGCTTAGTTTGACTATAAGTTTGCTGAAATCAGAGTTCAGGTGATCCCAGATTTAATTTTTGAACTTTCCGGATTGATTTTGCCTCGAGATTCGTGCCCGATCAAGATAATGTTTTGATGATATATCAAAGCTAATCATGACAGTTACTTGAAATACCAATTATATTTATTACATTTGAAATTTGAACATGAATTTTTACAACTATTACTAAGGCTAATAAGAGTTGGTATGAGAAATAGTAAATATAATGTGTTGATATTTTTTCATTCAAGAAACGTTCTTTAAACTTATTAAACTCTCCTCTCGTATTGCTAGCTCTAACATTATCTTGGCCATGGATTTCTTTAGGGGTGTCAATATTTAGCACAACCTAAAACTCGACCTTGACTGGACTAAAAAAATTCTGGATTCGGGTCAACTGTTTGACATACAAGTAGGGTTCGGGTTCGGCAAATAAACCCGTTTTTAAAATAAAGTCTTGTTCAGGTTGACATGGAAACCCGAAAATGACCCGGGTTGACCCGTTTAATATTATCTTATTTAATATTTCTTTTTTTAATCTTATTCAAATTATCTTATTTAATATAATATACAACTAGGCCATCACAGATCACGGGGAGCCGTCCAAGTGTCCAACGTTATCTTATTTATTTATTTATTTTTGTTCTTATGCTGTTTGAAATTTAAATGCATTGTTTTATCCTTAAATGCATTGTTTCATACTGCAATTTTCCCGCAACTAAGGCTTGATGTGACCCAACGGGCGTGTAGTATGCACACACGTGACGTCTGAGGATAATGTGCGAGTCAAACAATAAACTTAAGTTCTAGCTTGATCCTCGTATGCGAGTGGATAGGAGTTGACATAGCTTAAACTACCAAATAAATATACGGTCATGGCGTCGACCAAAATATTTATTTTAATACATTCATATTAGGTTTTCAAGGTTACATTCATATTACGTTTTCAAGGTCTATAATAAAGGAAATTCACTAAAAAAAAAAAGATAAAGTCGATAATGGGCCAGATTCTCTGTCGACAAGTAGACATAGTCGGCAAGGTTTAACAGACAAAGAGAAATCACCTATAAATACTTAATGATGATCATGTTGAATGTTATTTCAATCAGAGGAGAACACAAATACCTAAAAAAAATGCCTCCCAAATTCTTAAATGCCTATGAAAATCCAAAATTTAAAAATAATCACCTCAAATAAATATGTTTAAAATGAAATTAATCATCAAACACTTTAAAAAAAATACACATCTACCCTCCGCAATAATTTGTCAAGGTGGACAAATAAGAAAAACACTTCAACTCACAAAGAGCAAATGTCTAGTCGAGAATATCATTGGATTTATTCTCAATCCATCTATATTAGTAAGGACGTAACACATGTCCTCTAACCGGTAATTTCGTCACTAAATGGCACCACACTAATGGTTTGACTGCTAAAGGGCATCATAAGTAAACGACTATGACCGGGACCCTTTGATCGGGTGGTTTTGCCACCAAGTGTCACCATTATATTACTATCATAGTCAAAGCCCATATATTTCTCAATGCCTAAATCCTTGAGTAATGATCGATATGGCATAAAGCCTTCTATTAGCTATGGTAGATTCAAATTTACCCCTTTAGGTAAATATTAACCCCAAGTTTACCAAGTACCCTTGGACAGAACAACTCATGGCTACTAATAAGGATACTTTTGTCAAGTTGAGTTGACTATCTCCTCTGACTAAGTAGACTAAGGATCATGATGACTGAACCGTGGGATCTTGATATAATTCATCATCATTCCCTCAATCATCTTATTTAAGTGCAGGATGATAAATTTTCAATTTTAAATATTAAATTCCAATATCAAAGTCATACTACTACTATACACTAGATACCACATATTTTTTACTAGCCTTAATTGTTCTCTCGCTATTATGATGGGTAATTAACAATAGGGGTTTACGTCTATACGAAACCTGAACTCAAATCATAAAGTCCTCGTAAAATGAGGGCAAAATCTCTAGGTACTATCTTCAAAACCCGATATATTTTCTAAAAATTTTCCTAGGATAATACTCATTAAATCTCTCCTCAACAACCCGAAGAAAAAAACAATCGTAGAGATGCTGGGGCGCAAAGTTTCAGCGCCCAAAGAATATTTATATTATGTTGGTTTAAAATAATCAAGTACTGTTACATTATATATCTAAATCATAGCATAAGAATATTTTGATGCAATATCATTTACAATGAGGTTATTAGTCATTTTATATTTCTCTCTAATTAATATCAACATATTAAAGAACAGAGAATATTGCATTGAATCTAAGATGAATAGCATATGATTTAATTATATATTATCAAGACTTCAGTAACATATGTCCATTTTTGTTAGTAATGCATTATAATTATATTTACAAGGAGTGCTTCAATATTAGTTAATCAATATATGCAAATAATTCTTTTCATAATAGATGCATTTTAAAAATATATATAGCCTTTGAATATTATTTTATATTAAAGGATGAATTATCTTGATTATTGAATAAAATATTGAATTTTTCTTATTCTCACAATATTCATACTTTTTTTTCTCAACAAACTAATTATAATCTCTTCAATATATGATTCCCTTGAGTGTCCTTTTTTTTCAACACATTTGCCATCCTCTTATTGATATTCAAGCAAGCTATTGTGATATTAAAAACCAGAAACTAACTACGAAATACATAAAAATCAACAGTTATGAAATAAAACAGAAAACATCTACAATAAAAACCACTCTAAAAAAGAACTGCACGTAGAGAACAATTTCTTACATGGCAACTAGGACGTCTTCTTCACGTTGTTCACCTCATTATTGTTGAAAACTGAAGAAGCAGATGAGGGCGGCAGCTCCAGAATAGGCTTCATTTCTTGTTTCTTCTTCTCCTTGAGAATAACCTGCCTTGGCATGACATCAACAAGAAAGTTCCCACCATTCCAGATGGTGGCAGTGACCTTCAGTAACTGGAAGATTACGTTCATTCGATAGGAGAGGAAGATGGGCACAGTAAGGGCCATCGTCGCGACGGTAAAGATGGCTTGGAGCATGATGTACATAATAGGTCGGTTGTGATCGCCGAGTGTTCCACTCAACCTCCACCAAATGTTGTTTGCCTTCTGTGCCTTCTTAGAGAGCTCCCTGCGAAAAAAGATCATCATTTACATGGCCTTGAAACTTGAGTGATGCTAGATCCGTTATAAATCAATGGGAACAAAATCTTAATCAACCAGTAAAAAATTTGGAATTTCATTTGATTTACTTGAGTTTCCTCTAATTTCACAAAGCCTTAAAATGAAGAAAAAGAGGAAAGCACTGATAAATTGAGAGAAGACCTGTAAGAAGTCATGACTTCTGGATCTTGCAAAAGTCGCTGACGGCGCAGAACATTAACAATGAAAAAATAAAGTAGTTGCCAGAGAGTGTAAGCAATCAGAGGAACCAGAAATAACCAAGTCCATAGGTAGGACTTGTCCTCCACGTAAGGCCATGAAACTCTTGCAGTTCTGCCCACGGGGTGCATGGCAGCAAAGGTTTCTGGATTCCACCATCTAATAGTAAAAAACACTATACCTGAAATTCAGAATCTTTCATGAGTAGGAAAAAAAAAAAAGCAAAAGTTTACTTCTAGTTTGAAAATGTATGAGAACATACATAATATAAAAAAGTTAATCTGGTGTATACTGGAGCATTTCAATAGTAAATGTAGGAGGTGATCAATGTTATGTTATGTAAATACTTAGCATGATAAAGCTGAAGCCTAGGTTTCATTCAAATTGGGAGAGGGGTTATACGAGAAGCATTTCACTTGGGTTGCATGAATAGAGATCAATAAAGATGCAAAACAATACGGAGATTGACCTTACTAACCAGATTTTATAAAGAGAAGGAATGTAATAGCACAATGTGGGTTTCCCCTGATCTTCCAGGCATGCAACCTCCAACGGCCACAAGCTCTTTCGTGAGGGTTGACTTTACAGTGATCTCACACGTCTCACAATTCCACACGCATTCACTCATCTTCATAGTCCACCAGCTAATACAAATCAAGAAAGCACAACTCTTGGATTTGCTCCCCTTTTCAAACCCTAAATCTGTAGGGGCTCTCAGTTTGGATCAACTATCAAATCCTCCAGAATCTTCTCCACAGCTTGGCCTTCCTCCTACACCCTCCTAATACCCTAAGTCATAGCATAGGATCCTGGCTCTTGCAATTCCAAACCTAAATAGGAGGGGCCTTCTCAAGCTTCGCCTGCTCAAAACCACACCAATACATTTCTCCACCTCCACACCTTTGTCTACCAACTATCAACCTAAATCAACCCCTCAACCACCTTCACACCTCTCAAACAAACCACAAACAAACCTTGGCCAAGCCTCCACGACCACCTGAAAGACAAATAGCTCCCTAAAAGCTAACTCTCAGTCCCTGCAAACAGGCCCTCCACATTCAATGCAACTCATACCAAGTTCCTCCCAATTATTCACCCCACCCTGTCCATGCCATATGCAATAAGTGAGAGTTGTCCCTCTCGTTTATTTCCCACCACCAAGCTCCATTATTTCTGGCATCAGTGCTTTATCCATCTCTGGTATCAAATTAATAAAAAAATATCTGGTATCAATGTAAAAGACCTAGAAAAAGACAAGGAGTGCAATCAAAGCTACTACAACTTGACTTAAACAAGTGGAGAATTTGTTCGGGTGTTCTTGGAGATAGTTTTGGATGTTTGGAAAAGTGCCCAAGGATGAATCAAAGAGTAAGAGGTGGAATATAGGCATGAACTGGTTTTTTTAGGTGATTTGCAGTGAGATGCGTAGAAGGAAAAATGCCCTCACGCAAAATGACATGAAGGGAAATAATGATAATATTAAAATCGTTAAAATAAGGATTATAACACATGTAATCTTTATGGTTGGTAGCATAACCAAGAAACATACAAGCCAACTTGGGTGCAAAATTATGCCCCTAGTAAGGTTTGAACCATGGATGGAATAGACACCCAAAGATTTTGAGATATGCGTAAAAGTGGTGGATTGTTGTATAACAGCTGATAGTGAGAGAGCTTCTTTGTCACCAAAGATGGAACACGATTGATTAAATAAACCATATTTACAACCTAGAAATTAGGAGATAAGCCAGCTTTTAAGAGTAGTGTGCTAGTAGTTTCAATTCAATAAGATGATAGTGTTTCCATTCAGCTAATCATTCTATTCGGGTGTATATGGGCCGCTACATTGATGATATATACCCTATTGAGTAAGAAGAGTTTGAAATAAGTTGATGTTATACTCACCATAGCCATCTGAGCAAAGAGTTTTAACATGAGAAGAAAAAAGACATTCTGCCATGATTTTAAACCGAGTGAATTTGGAAAGTTTTTTTTATTTAATTTCATCAAATATATCCTGTAAGAATAATCATCGATAAACAGAATATAATATTGTGCCCCTGTTAAAAAAAAACTAGGTAGTGTCCCAAAATTCTGAGTGTACTAGTTCATACTAGTTCAAAAGGATGAGTATGGAATGAAGTAGCAGCTTGAAACGTTTTCTATGACTTTTAGCTAAATCAAGAGTTAAATGGAGGAGCACAAGATGAGAATACATATAGTGGGTTTTTATTGAGCTAAAATAGATAATATAACAAAATATGGAAGGCCTCTACCATGAGATTGTGGAGATTGATGTGGACTTTGTGGAGTAAGGCACAATATTGATTTTTCATATCATACAAACTTTTACAGAAGAGTGATAGAAAAGCAGAACAATTAAAAGCAGAGAACTCTCATTTTATTAATAAATGTAGTATAGTGACATGGTTTTATACATAAAGAAGGGAGAATAAGTATGATGATAGTGTTTCAAAATGAAGGGTAGTGGAAAGAGAAAAAGTAGCATTTGCTATGACAGCTTTTTATCCGTTATCATGAGTAACCTCTGCAATCTTCATTTTAAATCTCATAATTTGGCACAATTTAATTTGTTGCAAATGAGTGTTGAATATTAGCATGACTGATTAACAAGCTTTAGGTCTAATTTGAGTGAGTATCATGTCAAATAAAATCTACCCTTAATGAAAACCAACCCCATCTTTACTTTACATAAGTGTAACATGCAAATGAGGGTGTGATCCACTTCAACAAATTGGCTTTACAAACTTTTGAATGTCATCAAATCATAACACTTGAATTATACTTGTTTGATAGTTGTTTTGACACATTAGTTATGCATGTTATTATTGTAAGAACTAGTTGTGTCAGTACTTTGAAGACCTAAAAAAAATTCCATGTATTTTAATTCAGTAATTTTACAATGGTCACCATTTTTACAAAAAACAACACTTTATTAAGACTTTATTACATTTGTGTTTGCATCATGCCTACATCTATGGATCAATTAAAAAGGTTTGCTAAGTTGATAAAAGAGTTTACCATTAAACCCAATGCCATTGGAACTAGGACCCAAGAAACCATCCCCTTGTCTAGCAAAAAATGTGCTTTTGCTTTCAAGAATGGAAACAAGAGGACATTTTTCAATGTACACAAATGTAACAAAATATGATGTAGGTTAGATACTTATGAAAATAACACACTATCTAATATCTACCATAACGTTCCTAAAGCCAATTTAAATTTTGAACCTCATCCTAATCCTTTCACTAATAGTTAAGACAATAGAAAATCATTTCTTGCAACCACTGGATGTCTAGTCCCCATTAAATTATATAGTTATTAAGAATGAATATGATGTGATGTCCTTCCTATGAAGATCATGCATACTCTTCTATGAAAACAACATACTAATAACATAAATGTTGACCACCAAGGTCATCATTGTTCATGGCTTTAAATCCAAAGGCAAGTCACACCATTTAAGTGAGAAAAATGAAAGCTCACATACCAAGGCACTAGTTTTGAACTCAAAATTGTGTCCAATCCTAAAGATCGTATACAAACCCATTAGATAGTGATTGGCTCACTCACTAACTCTTCTCCAAATGTTACAAGGCCACCATCTATTTTTTATGATCTTAATACATATATCGAAGTGATCATTAACAAGTGACACACCGCTTTGACACATCCTTGGATGATCTATCGTATTACTATCCTAATGCTATTGGACCTTCATATATTTTATATGCTTCGGATACACCCACCCTAAAAGTTGGTAGGGCACTCCAATTGTCATGCCATCTGATGTACTACAGGATGAGCCTATCCTTCTTAAGAAGAATGTCATATCTTTTATTCATGAGATACACATATCTAATGTATACTCAAACCCTCAACCTAGAAATACCTGACACACACAAGGATCAGCCTGCTAAAATTTTGTTCTTCAATTTTTTTGGTAACCCTTACATCATTTGGTAAATTTGATTTCAAAACATTAACTCAATTTAATTTATATTTTATTTCAAATTTTTTTAAAACCCTAATTTTTTTAAACCTTTTTTTTTCTTTTTCTTTTTTTTGTAACCCTAATGTCATAAGGTCAATGTCATTAGTATATTTAATTTAAATTTTGGGTTACAAACAAAAAAAATAGAAAAAAAAAAAGTGTATTTAATTTACAGTTATTTCATTTTTTTTTTCTTGAAAACCAACTTTTTCTTTTAATCCTAAATTATCTTTGTTTGAAATTTTTTTTGTTCTCAACTTGTTATTGTACTGTTTTATAAAGGATGGTTAAAACTAAGGATAAAATCACGTCAGATCATAGGAAGGACCGGGCGTGTAAACATAACAGCAAGTTAATGTATGACGCTGCAACAAGACATGTGTTCTTGAAAATGTAATTATTGTAAGAAGATAGTGAAGGGTGGTGCAACTATAATGAAGGAGCACCTATCTACATACCATAATAATGTGGCACCATATGCCAAAGTACATGATACGGTGAAGGAGAAGATTAAAGCATATATGAATAAGACAATAATGTCAAACCACCTAGCACATAAACAATTTGATAAAAGAGTTGATGTTGGCTCATACTACGGGAGCGAGCATAGTGGTCAGGACTCATCATCCTTATTGTAAACATGTATAGTAGGGGTGCAAGTGGTCCCATGGATCACTACATAATGAACACGTAAGAGGATAGAGAAAAAGAAAGGCCTTCTAAATCACAGAAGCTGACCTCGGAGACTGTTAGGGAGGCATGAATATGAGTATGCATTGATATAAGGAGATTGTTTTATGAGAATGCTATCCCTTTAAACGTTGTAACATCCCCTACTTACTACAATATGATTTGTTCAATTGGAGCCTATGGCAAGGGTTGAAACCTCGATCCATGTATAATTTGAGGACATGGGTTTTGAATGAGGAGTTGACAAACACTATGAAAGGCATTGAAAAAATCAAGAAAACCTGGAGTCAAGCAAAGGTAACTATCATGTCTGATGGATGGTCAAATATAAAGAATAGAAGCTTGATAAATATATTAGTCAATAATCCTTACAACACAGTATTCTTGAAGTCCATTGAGGTATCTAATAAAGTAAAAGATGTTGTTTTTTTGTTGATAAGACTATAGAGGGAGTTGAAGGTAAACTTGAATTATGGAGGTCAACCTTAGAGTCTAAAGGCTTTCGTTTGAGTAGATTTAAACTAAATATATGGAGTGTAATTTTAGTAATAATAGATATAGTGGGGGGATTGTGACTTTGAGAGATCAAGTCATTAATAAGAGTACACGTTTTAGATATCTTTGATCTATTGTTCAAAGTGATGGTGAAATAGAAGGGTTATTAGTAGTATTCAAGTTGGATGGTTGAAGTGGAGGAATGCATCGGGCATGTTGTGTCATAGAAAAGTCTCACTCAAACTTAAGGAAAAATTACATAAGATGGTAATGAGACCTGCACTGCTTTATGGTGCAGAATGTTGGCCATTAAAATAGAAGCATAATATTAAGTTAAGTGTTGCAGAGCTGAGGATGCTTAGGTGGATGAGTGGCTTTACTCTTAGAGACAGGATACGAAATGAGCATATACATGAAAAGATTGGAGTAGCTCCAGTGGAAGATTAGATTAGAGAGAGTCGCCTTAGCTAGTTTGGTCACATAAAACGGCTGCCTTCCGATGACCTGATTAGGAAAATAGATGTATTAGATTTAGCTTATGTTAAGAATGATAGGTGCTGAGAATCTGACCTAAAAAGACTTGATTAAAAAATATTAGAAATGACATTCCTTTATTAGATTTAGATGAGAATCTGACTCTTAATAGGACACAATGGAGAAAAAGGATTTATATAGCTGAACCCACATAAGTGGGATAAAAGCTTGTTGTTGTTGTTGTTGTATTGATGGTGTTATTTATGAGATTGGAGAGCACTTAATGGTTCAAGTGGTGACAAATAATGCCAATGCTTCTAAGATTGTAGGTGCAAAGCTTATGTAGAAGAGAAAGCATTTATATTGGACTCTCGATGTTGCACATTGCATAGACTTAATCATCAAAGAACTTGAGTTACAACAACATAACAATGTACTGACAAAAGAGGAAAAAAAAAGAAATAAATTTATATATAATTATTTTTGGGTTTTGGCACTTAATGAGAAAATTTTTCAAAAAAAGAAATACTAAACCTATAGCAACAAAATTTGTCAATGCATATTTGACTTTGCACAGCATGTTGAAGGCAAGACAACTTTTGGAGGCTATGTTCACTTTAACACAATAGCTAAGTCGTGCTTGGCCAAGACAATTTGAGGGAAAATAAATGAGAAAGATTATTTTAATGACAAATTCTAATAGAATGTTGCTAATGCTATTATAACACTAGACCACTTGTGCAGGTTTCGAGGATGATAGGTGCTGAGAAGTCTATAATAGATTACATATATAATGTTATGGATAAAGAAAAAAATTGATTGCCCACAACTTAAGAGGAGAAGATGACAACTATAAAAAAATTTGAAATATTATTGACAAAAGGTGGAGCTACAACTTCATTGTCACTTTCATGCAGCAAGTTATTACCTGAATCCTCACTTTCAATATGCAGAGAATAAGTCAAATAATTTTGAGATAAAATTATGATTATACCATTGCAATGATAGATTTATAGTTGATTCATCAAAGAAAGAAAATATTAACATGCATTTGGTTCCTTTCAAGAATAAAGAGGGCTTCTTTGAGTTGCAGCAGGGAAAAGATAGTTTTAAAATGATCTCTACATAATTTAATTTGTTTCTTTATTTTGAATAAAAATGTATATATATATATATATATATCAAAATGATTAATTCTATTTATTATACTTAATTATTTAAACCTCAGTTGAGTGGTGAATATAATTTGATGAAGAAACTCCAAAACTATAGTGTTTTGCTATTAAGATTTTGGGATTAACGTGCCTTCATTTGGATATGAACGCAGTTGGAGCAAGTAAATTCAAGTATACACAAAGAGAAAAAATCGTCTAATAACTGTAAGGATGAATTATTTGGTGTACATCATGTACAACAAAAAATTCAAAGATAAAAACTTGAAGAAGTGATTGAAGAATGACAAGAAATCTTTGATTTGTGAGAATATGATATCATATGATGAGTGGTTTGTAGATGATGAAATGAAAGTAACATCTGAATTAAAAAAAAAAAAATTGAATATTATTTTTTTATGGTGACAGAAACAAAACATCCACATCTACTACAAGCTAACTACAAAAAGAAATAAAGAGAAAAGGTAAAAAAATTAATTTAATTTTATGTTTTTTTAATTTGAGGTATTACTCTCATCTTTATGTTGATGATAAACATTTTGAGAAAAAAAAAAAGATGAATGAAATAAATGAAGTAGATTCGGGGACATTGGACTCCACAGGTGATAAATAGGGAAAAAAAGCAATTTGTTATGATGACAACAAATAAAAACCCCTTAGTGATGACAACGTAGATAAATTCTAAGTTGTTGCTATACTATTTCATTTTTTTTAGGAATTAAATGGACATGAGTAGAGAACTAGAAAGGAAGAAATTTTGAGCTGAACTTTATGTTATATGATATTTTTATGTAATTCATATATTTTATGTTGTTTTCCTCTTGTGATGATTGGATTTAAATTCTATTTAATGCAATTTACTACTTGTCACTTTACATCTTATGCAATTTTTTGTTTCCTATATATGCCAATTTGTTACTTCATATCATCACCCTATTCCATCCACTCATACAAATAAGAAAACCCTCCCACTCTCAAACCCTAGACTATAAGCACCTCATTTGGATCATCCATGATATCCCCCAAGCTCCTCCCCACACCCTAGTCTTCCTCATATATCCTCTTACCACCCTAGAGTCATCCCAAAAAGTATTGGCTCTTCCATGCAAGTCCAAACCTACATAGGAAGGATCTGCTGTATCACTTCTCCAAAACCACACCAATCCATTTCCTCCTCCACCTCCACACCCATCATTACCACCTCCCAAGTTTCAGCAATCTTCCAACTATCTTCCCACCTCTCATACACATTACAAACAAATCTTGCACAACCTCCCTCTACAAGCTAATGCCAACAAATAGATACCTCATCAAGACTACCTCTAATAAAATAAAATAAAAAATAATAAAAAAAAAATCAAGACTACCTCTAGGCCTCCTCAAATAACCACTCAAAATTCAATCCAAACAGCACCTATTTCCTCTATATAACTTCCCACACTCTCTCCGCTTCACAAACAAGTGAGAGAAATAACTCTCATTTCTTTCCCACCAGCAAGCTCCATCGTTTATGGTATCACTGTCCTACCAAGAAGTTAACCCGGAAACAATTAGATTGGAGACTCCATATTATACTCATAGTCTGTCCTAACAACTGTCTTGGATTAAAATAGGTCAACCCTAACCCGACCTTCTAATGCCAATGCAACATTTTGAGGTTCCTCATCACCCCAAGTCTGATATGCCGTATATTTAGCAAGAACAATACAATCTGATTGAGGACCTTGGATTATAGGAAGAATTTGACAGTAGAAAGCAGTAGAAACATCTAAGTAATTAATTGTTTGTGCTGCTACAATTGAAACAGATTCATAGAACTTTTCTCATGGCTAGCTACTATGTGGGACGTAAAGGATAGATACAGGAGGAGATGAGTATTCTGGTAGGACACTTGTGATAATCGTTGTTAAAGCATCTGCAATTGTCATCAAAAATTATGACGTGATACCAAAAAAGGGTCAACAAAATAAAATATAACTGGAGATCACTCTGCAAACAACAATTTAAGTGCAGCATAAACCGAAAGGGTAAGATTCTGAAATCGCAAGATGAGATCAAATAAGAAGAAATAATGCAGCCAAGAGCTTCCATAAGGAGCTCCACAGGTTCGTAGTAAAGCCTTGCATTAGATCAGATACTAATGATGCCCAAGCACAACAACATTGATGGGAATTAAGATAGCTAAGAAATATCTGATGGGTAATGCGACTAGTTACGAAAAAGAGTTGAATAACATAGAGCAACCACTACAAAAGCAACTACAAAATGGTTGGTCCTAAAAATTTTATAAACGACACGTTATCTATCATTCTTAGAAGAAGTTGATCTTAAAGGGGTAAACGGCAATTCTAAGAAATTTATTATAATTAAGCTGTAGTTGGTAATGGGAGATCATATTCCTTCACCAGCATTAAGCATTGCAAACCAACCACTGAATAATCATCCCCATAACCTCCAGCACACGGCACACTCACTCTTACACAGTTCCTATCACACACGTAGGAGAAAACTTTGTTTATTGGTAAAATAATATTTTTTAGAGTTGCAAAGGGCATGTAATCATGCCAAGTACAACAAAGGCTATCCAAGATCATACTGGCAGTTTATCAGTAAATACATACAAGTATGATCACTACATACCCTTTCCTATAGTAAATTAAATTAATAAAAGCATATATCTAATTATGCCTGACAAAAAAGAGAATTTTAAACCCCAAAATTGAGCACTAAAATTCAATTAGTTGAGAAAATAATCGTGCCGTGAAAATATCAAATGCATGCCTAAACACTTGAATGGTCATGTCAACATTGAAACAAGGTATAAATTCACAACAAAATCAACATACCAGGTAAAAGATGTATAAGGACACTGACAATTTTGTCAAACGAACTGAAAACTAGGCTACAGCGCCAAACAATCAAAGCCCAAGCTAATGGACCCTATAGCAAATATATTGAAATAAAAAAAAATGATCAGTAGGAAGTAAGCAACAAAGAATTATACAATGGAAAAAAAAATATTATCTGCTTACTTCTGCGAACGAAAAGCAAACCATAAAAAGCTTCTCATTCTTTGGAAACATGAGTAGCATAACCAAGAAGAATGTGTTGGCATAGTAGCAGAAATCCTGCAGCATCCCATGAATAGTTAGTTCAAAATCAACAAAAACATCCTACAAAATAAAAAATAGAATCTGAAGTCTTTTGAAATTAGTAAATGCATGCAACAATTATGATGAGTGCTCAAGCGCACAGCTACACGAATGACACAGTAGAATTAACTTTCAAAAAAAAAACTTTTCTTCTGAAGGACAAATTTATACTATATATGAACAATCACAAAGTCAAATACCCAAACATTTATACGATATAAGAAATGACATGAGAAATCAAAGGATGCAGATCCAATAACTGCACTGCAAGCTATAGATTAATAGAAGCATGTCAGATGCAAAGGAAGGCCATCATTATCATTATTATCATTAGGCTTGTCACAAATATTTTGGGTGGTTTCACAAATCCTTATTTGTCATTCATTTCAGAAGAGTGCTACAGATGTTGAATCTACTTTGCACAAATCTTTAGGAAAGCTCTTAATCATCTTATTTTTCATTTACTCAGGTTGTTTCCCAATCATTGTATATTAATTTTATCTACTTGTCTTATTAGTGCATCTTCTAACATCCTTTGAAGCATACTAAATCATTAAAGTTTATTTTATACAATCTATATTCAATAGATGTTACTTATATAGTCTCTCTATAATAATCATTTCTCAATACACCATTCTAGTTTTATCACAAATTCATCTAATATTTTCATCTCTTCCACATAAAATCAGACAATCAATAATTTCTTAACCACCAAAATCTGATATTTATGTAGCATATCTAGCCTAATGCCGTTTTATAAAGCTAACCTTTCTCCAAGATATGTTCTCCTCACATGCAACTCTTGACACATTTCTCTATTTTAACCATCTCACTTTAAGTTTTAGCTCTAGATATTATATCCTCATTAACATCGCTGTTCTTTGGTATTGTTACATCTAGCGTACCTAAAGTTTGGTATCACCTGATCCTTCAGCAATATTAACTAGAAACCATCAATTTCACATGATAAAATTGAAAGAAATAGCCACCCTTAGAAACAAATTAAAAATTAAACTAACCCTCCCTAAAACCATCATAATAATAAAAAAAAGTTTCTCATTCATTATTATTATCTTCCACAATCTAATATTCATCACCCTTATCTTGTTCAACTAATAGCAATTAAAAAAAAAAAACTAACCCTCCCTAAAATCATCATCATCATAAGACAAAATAGCCTTGTCTTCTTCATTGTTGTCATCTTCCACATTCTAATCATCATCAACCTTATCTTCTTCAACTACTAGCATAATCCTCATCATACACCCGAAATGAGCAAAATATCATGTGATGTTTGCACCTTGCGTAATGGATTATAGCTCACTTAAAACACTAATATCACACTCTATTTTGATGGTTTGCACTTTGTAACAGAAATAGTGCATGGAGTAAACCTCACTATGCTATGAGCAAACATGTATGTTACTTAGTGTTATTAGTATGTACTTTCTCAAGATAAAATTTCAACATTTCTTTTATATCTTCATTGTTAATCAACCAATCTTTGTAAGATTTTGAGCTTAACAATTCGTAATCCCCAAAAATACTTTTTTATGCAATTTCTTAAAAGCACATTTCTTTGCCTCAAAAAATCTTTTGCACAGCCTTGCTCTATCACAAATTCTACTTATGCATAATTTATTTCAAAACTCTTCTAAAAGTTCAATAACAATGTTCTTCAAAAAATATAAATATGCAACTAGCTATATCATCCTTCAAAAGTCTTAAATCAACAATGGAAGAATAAAATGCTTTACAGGCACAAAACAAAAAAGGAACATATGGTAGAGTCTTTTATTAAATTGAAAATATAAAACACATATTAGACTTTGTTTAAAATAGCTAATTTCATACGAGCCTAAACAAAATAATAAATAATAATCCTCAGCCTTGTCCCTTAATTTTTCACTATTTTGTTCAATATTATATCAGATGGTCATCAAATATGAGTCCTTAATTAATTGAAAGTGCTCTTGAATGCATGCGCTCTAGGAGAAAATTTAGCATTCAACTAATAAAGAAACAAAATGGTAGTATTTATTTGATTACATTAGAAAAGTATGCGCTTTAGGAGACAATTTAGCATTCAACTAATACAACAATAACAAAAACAACATCAATCATTTGTCCCACTATGTGGGTGGGTCGGCTACATTAATCCTTTTTCACCATTGTGTTCTGTTAAAAGTCAAATTCTCATTTAAATCTAATAAAGAAAAATCCTTTCTAAAATTTTCTAACCAAGTCTTTTTAGGTCTACCTCTACCTTTCTTAACATAAGTCAAATCTAATACATCTGCTTTCCTAACCGGGTCATCGGAAGGTCGTCGTTTTATGTGACCAAACCATCTAAGGCGACTCTCTCTAATCTTATCTTCCACTAGAGCTACTTCAACCTTTTCACGTATATGCTCATTTCGTATCATGTCTCTAAGAGTAAAGCCACTCATCCACCTGAGCATCCTCATCTCTGCAACAATTAACTTAATATTATGCTTCTCTTTTAATTGCCAACATTATGTACCATAAAGCATTGCAAGTTTCACTACCATCTTATAGAATTTTCCCTTAAATTTGAGATTGACTTTTCTATCACACAACAAGCCCAATGCATTCCTCCACTTCAACCATCCAATTCTACTAATAATATCCCCATCTATTTCACCATTACTCTGAACAATAGACCCAAGATATCTAAAACATGTACTCTTATTAATGACTTATCACTCAAAGTCACAATCCCTCCACTAGATTTATTATTACTAAAATTACACTCCATATATTCAATTTTAGATCTACTCAAACGAAAGCCTTTACTCTAAGGTTGACCTCCATAATTATTGGGTATTATGTTATGACTATATAAATAAAAACTATAGTCCAAGCCAATGTTTAAAATTGCGTATTCGGGTATTGAGGCGTTTTTCATTCGTGAGGCGAGGCGTAAGCCTCAAGGCGTTTTGAGGTGTAAGCCTCAAAATCAAAAGATTGCGTAAACATAAAATGATAAATTTTTTAAATACTAATGAGTGAATAATATAAAACATAAAAAAGCATAAGATATGAAGTGAAATCAAAATATCTCAATAATAAGACAACATGAAATATAGTTCAACTCAAAATTCTATCTTTCCCAAATCCAGTATTCTTTTCATTAACATATAATTCCAATTTCTAAAAATAAATAGCAATGACATATCACATAAGAACTCATAAATCATCAGCACTGTCATCACTAAGGGGTTCTTCATTTGAATCATCATTATGATGAACTGCTCTCTCCCCTTCCTCCTCTCCTATAGAGTCTAATGTCGGGCATTTACTTCAAAATTTATGTAAGTTTTAATATATATAGCGTTAGGCGTAAGCCTCATACCAGTGAGTCGAGGCAGGCCTTAAGGCGGGCCTCAACCAAGTTGAGGCGCAAGCCTCATAACAAAAACTCGAGGCGTAAGCATCGAGGCATTTTTTATTGGAATTGCGCAAAGGCGGGTCTCAAGGCGAGCCTCATATTGCGCAATTTTAAACCATGGTCCAAGCAAGTAATATGTCATCTTGTGTATTATGTTGTTATCTCATTAAAGATACAACACGAGTAGGCTAATGCATTTCATTTTCATTATTATTTGCATATCTACTAAATGAAGAAACCCATCTTTGGTATACCTAATCATGAGCATGCTACCATCATATGCATGTATATAGCTCATGCTTTTTAGAGAACATCCCTCCTAAGCATATTTATAATCATCTGAACATGTGTATTGCAATTGTTTTATATTTATGTTTGTAGAGACCTAAGTATGTATATGAGTAAATTGTCTAAGCATGCAAACATGCGCCTCTCTTGCATGTACAGGAGTGTTATAGTGTATCCTACCATCCCTATCACTCAAAACTCCCTCCAATCCTTTATTGGCATGAATCAATATACATGCATGATTGTGCATCAACACAAAATATTGCTGATTTCGCAGCCAGATTTTCAAATAGTAGTGAAAGTATTCTCGTAAGTCTTAAAGATACACGAGGGATATAATTCACTTATCTATCAAAATTGAAAGAGCTAACATAAACATCAATGAGCACAAGAGTTAGGTATTTAGCATTTCTGATTACATGATGCTCATCATAATATGCCATTGTCCCCTCACCAAGTTTCCTCACATTCCAAAGCAAAAGCAACCTAAGAGCAACATAACAACCACAATTCATGGATTTCATTCTTGTAATATGGTTGTTCATATTCCCTTGGAATTGACTATTATTAGCTTCACATAAGTTTGCAAAATCAACCCTTCATATTGAATATTATTAGCCTCAGGCAACTTTGTGAAATAAAATTGGTGTTAATGCACAAGTCCTAACTTTAAAGTCAATAGTTATCATCTCTACAACAATACCATTCACAAGAACGTTACAGGAGACATCCAAAGTATTGGAATAACCTATCATAGTAAGTGAAGCATGGTCTATTAGCTATGCATCAAGTATGAAAAAGAATTATGAAATCTGACTCATCACTGGTAGTACGAAACAGCATGTAATGATTACCTAACAAACAAAACAGAATTGAAGGTGCATAAAGTTTTGAAATATGAAAGGTCGGAAGTTTTATTAGTCAATCTAATTGAACATATCTCAAAATGCAACTTAGGATTACCAAAATACCAAGGCATAATTAAGTATACATATTCATATAGACAATATATTTCTAGAAGAGACAGAAGATCATCCTATTTATCAAATGAAGAAATGTACAGAGTAATATAATCGAAACATGAGTGTCTCAGGCCAACGAGATTTAATCAACAATATTGACTTAAACTAATTTAAAAGAAAAACACATCATGGAGTACCCAACTTTTTGCAAAGAGTTTAACCATCAGTGCCAAATTTAAACTAACAATTAGAAAGGGATGGACTGCCCAACTGTTTCAGCTATCAAAAAGAAAATAAAATGCAAAGCAGAATAGCTCACCAGAAGGTAATAGTGCCATTTCTTGTAACGATAGTATATCCATCTAAGAGGAACGAAAGTAATATAAAACAAACAGTAAACATATGGAACATCCTGCGGCCCTGAAAAACCAAATCATGAATAATCTAAGAAAACAGAGTTCATATTCTTGTCAAATATTAAATCCTGGTATGAGCATCACTTACTAGCTCCCAAGATATAACAAAATCCGCCAAATCCAAGAACACCCAACAAATGAGTCACCTGAATCATCAAAAAGTAATAGAAATTCATACCTACTAAAAAAAACCGTAAGAAGGGATGAGTTCAAAAGCAGTATACTTTAATAAAACTAATCCCTAAACCACCATAAATTACTAAAAAGGAAATAAAGGAAATAAAAAACGTAAATAAACAATAGGAATCCAATGAAAAATAGTGAAAATATGCGACCTTAGTTATAAATCTCTCATGCTCCTCTGCTCGCTTGGCAATCTTATCAGCTTGCTTAGATAAGATCTCCTTCGTCTGCTCCGCCTGCTTCGACAATTTCACCTTCGTTTCCGCCACCTTCTGAAGATCGTCAAGGAGAAGGGAACCCGGCTGAGAAATAAATCCAAACAAAAAAGAAATGAACAAGGGAAGAAATTAGAGTGGCGCAATACCCTGGAATGGTCAGCGATCTTCTTCCTCATCTTTCGCAATCCCTCCCCATCTTCGACGGCCTTCTCTCCCTCGGCCATCTCCTCTAGGGCTCCTCTTCCAATCCTCTCCTTTGATCACAGAGCAAAGTTTCAAACCACAGACAACTCGAGGCTCTCTCCCCGGAAGGTGACCAATGGCTTCTGATTGGATGTTCTCCGCTAACTTATACTAGTAAAAGGAGAGTAGTTAGTCTTCCACCGTCGGATTAGGGCGATTTGAGGCGATGATCATCTGGCCGTACAAATGGTAACGCATCTTCTATAGAATATATTATCATGTGATCATTATCATGAAGTTGTAAACGACTAGACTCTAGAGTAATAAACATTCTTGAATCAAATTGATGTAAATTCAAAATCAAATGTAAATAAAATTATAATTTAAGTTGGCCAAATTTTAAAAAGGAACAGGATAATTATATGAATTGGCATTAGGAGCATGTAATAATAAAAATTTAAAGATGATATCAAATTATTTGGTGCATCTATCGAATGCATCAAATCATTCAGCGCAATCAGCTTCATGTCTGATCGATCAGATCTGGTAATCGCATGAATTTCACCCAAGTTGTGTTCGACTCGTGGAAAAATCGTTCTAGTGGGGCAGTGGTTGGAGCATTTATCTGTCTATATAAGTTGCTGCTTCAGTTAAAGTCTATTACTCGAAAATCAGTGAGCACTAGTAGAAATTTTAAGGTTATAGAATTACCTGCATTTATGTAATTTTTTTTTCCGGTTTGAATTTTAGATTAGAGATTAGAGAATATTTTCTGAGGTTGTATGCATGCATCTTTATTCTTTCCTAATAATTCTTCTATATTATAATTTTAGTATGAATTAAGATTTCATTTAGGACGATTTTCTTATTATTTTTTAAAGCATATTTTTAGTACGAAAAATTTAATTTTGGTACTAAAAAGTTGTTTTAAGAATCAATAAGAAAGTCATCTCAAAAAGACTCAAATAAAGCCTAAATATAATATTTTTTTGTCTTGTAATTATGAAATATTAATCCAAAAGCATATCAAAGAAATTTGCATATGTCACTTAGGCTTCGTGTGGGACAACATTTTTACTGCTTTAAGTGTCACTATTATTTCCATGCTTCCAGAAATTTTTGTACTAAAAAATATTTTTTACGAAGCAGTAAAAAAGTCATCCCAAATGAAACATTAATTTTGCTTGTTTTATCAAGCTTGATAAACATAGGCTTCCTTTGGGACGGTTTTCTTGCTACTTCTTAAAACAGCTTTCTTGTACAAAAAATTTAATTTTTGTATTAGAAAACTGCTACAAAAAGCAATAAGAAAGTCTTCTCAAACGAAACCTTAGACTTCATTTGGAATAGCCTTAGGCTTCATTTGGGACGAATTTTTACTATTTTTAAAACAATTTTTTAGTATAAAAATTAAATTTTTTTACTAAGAAGTTGTTTTAAGAAGCAATAAGAAAGCTGTCCCAAACAAAATCATAGGTCACTACTTTTTTCCTGCTTTCAAGGTATTTTTGTATCCAAAAGCAGCTTTACAAAACAGTAAGAAAGTCATCCCAAACGAAGCCTTAATCATAAATTGCAGGATATTCTTATTCAGTGTTCATAATGAAATAAAAATAAATTAAAGTTTGATAAGATGGTGTATATTCAATCTTATCCTATTTTTTCTTATTTTGTTAGGTTGTGTAATTTATGATTATTTAAAATTGAATTAAATTAGCCGATCTTGCTTCAAAAAAATAAGATTAATGTTAATTGTAAAAGGACTAATTGTATATGCAATTAATCTGAAAAAAAAAAAAGAATAAAGCCAAGCATGATGCTCTAAAAATTTATTTTTCACTTATTAAAAAAATACCGATTGTCGTTCTTGCAAGCCTATTGGTTGGGGAATTTAGAAATTTAGAGATTTCTTGATACATTCACAAATGAAATGGTGATCATTTTTAATGTGTTTAGTTCTAGCTTGAAAAATTGGATTATGTGCAAGCCAAATGGATGAAATATTGCCACAATAGAGAGGTGTAGGTGCATCAAGTGAGACACTAAATTCTTGCAACAAACGACATAGCCAAATGATCTCCATTGCAGCAGAAGAGAGCGCTCGATATTTAGCCTCGGTAGATGATCGTGCAATTGTTTCTTGCATTTTAGTAGACCATGAAACAAGAGTGCTGCCAAGAAAAGTATAATAGCCTATCGTAGACTTATGATCAATAGAGTCGTCAACCCAGTAATGTGGATTTATGGTGAGCTATTATGTGACTTGCTTAGTTTGAAATTGCTTAGATGTTTTTTGATATAAAATTAATAAAAGCCTAGTAAAATAAGCAAGTATGCATGTCAAATCAAGTAATAAAATGAGAATAGAGTGTCGATCTCATGAGGAAGTATTCTGCTTAATTGTAAATTTACTACTACTACTTACTTCAAATGAACTACTTATCTAATTGAAAAATAAAAATGATATTTTTTGAGTTTTTGTCACGAAAAAAAAAAATTTGCAAGAATAATTTTGATACTTGTGGAAATAAAGTATTTGGACTAATGAATCTAAATAACATAGTTTGCCTAATGAAACTCTTTGATTTTAGATGTGGATCAGAGAATATGAATCCCTAGATCTCTGTTGAACTTGTAGGAGTGAAACGAAAGGTTTTTGACCTTTCTACAATTTTTCTATCTACATAGAACAAAGAATATTTAATCACCTTATGTCTAGGCATGTCAATATTCAATTTCAATACTATTAATTATTCTAGTATTCCTCCATCGAGGCTATACATCACACTTGATTTTAACTACACACATGATCATTATATGCATTAAATGAAAAATGGGAGATATTGAAAACATCAATTTATCATTCAAGACACAATAGTCTGCATTAGTACTTACTATATTTTTTATATCATCATCCCAAAACTAAAGAATCAGCTAGACCTGGAAGATACAACAAGCAAACTCATTTTTATTTCATTCATTAAAAGAAAAAATACAAAGAGAAGTAATAGAAAAATTATCACCCAAAAGGATCAAATGATCTTCTTCACACTCCTTCCTCCAAAAAATAGAGTTGCTTATACAAGCAGGCTATGATCCCTATAGCAAAGTATCTTGCACTTTCTTGAATCCCTTAGACTTTACTTTAAGGGGCATTCAAGAAATACACTAAGGATTATAGAATTTTACTTAAGTGACAAACTCTCCAAATAATGGAAATGAAAAACTATTTATAGGAAGTATAAGGACAGGCTCAAGCACCGTGGCACTCGATAAGGTGGCACCGTAGCGGTACAAAATAAACTAACTCCTCAGTGTTGTAATGTTGGCTCCATTGTGGCACTGGCTAACCTGGCATGTTTAGTGATTGAATATACACTTCTTTTAGCTGAGTTGGCGCAGTTCCTCGCATTAGCAATTGCTCTATCATGGAGCTCCAAAAATTTAAGTGTTGCACTACTAGAATGTGATTTTCGGTGTTGTATCATTATAAGGTTAAGTGCTCCAACGCTCATTTTCTCAAGACTCTAGCACCACGGTGATGAATTTGGGCGCAACGACGCTGTGATATGCCATATCATTAACCTTAGTGATGCTATGATACTTGAAAATAGAGAATATTGTGTTATAATGTCTTAATTTGGCACTGTGGTGCTACAATATTCAGTCTTATAGTGCTTATGATGTTGACGTGACTCTATTCAACACTTATCATTTTTGCCTTTTCTCTACATTTACTGCATAAATACTACTAAATAACACATTGTCACTGAATTTAAATATAATAAACAATACATAATTTAGTATTAATAAATTCCCCCAGCTTGTCCTCAAGCAATTGTAAAAAATAAATAATTAATCACTTAATAGCAAAAGTAAAAATTGATAATTTAAAATTACTAAAATATAAGATAATATATTATAATGTAAAAGTAATTTAGAATGATTAAAATTATAATTCTTATTTGAAATATCATAATAATTATCCCAACTAGTCACCCTTTTTATTCCTTAATTTGAATCTATCCACTATGTTTGTAAGTGTAAAATTGACTTCTAAATTTAGAAATGAACAATATAACTTAAGGATTAGTTGTGTTTATAGTTACAATGAAAATTTCTTAGTACACCATCACATGTACTAGTTCACTTATTGTGTCCTTTTTTATTTATGTATTAAGATGCATTTTAACTTAAGCTTTAACTGATATAAATTTTTGAATATACTCATTTTTATCTTTTATATATCTCTTTTTTAGATTTTTCCTAAATTTTATTCTTTCATATTTTGTAGAGTACATATTTAATAATTTGAATATCATATTTGCTTTCATTCTCTTGCAATTTTAACCGAGTTAGTGTAAGAATTTAATAAGATCACAAATTTCATGTTCAAGTTCACTATATTTTTCCAAATTTAATCTACTAACATCTTTTTCATGAGACTGAATTATTTATTTTTAAATTCAGTAGTCAATATATTAATGTGTAGTTTTAAATTTCAAGTCTAGTTAATAGCTTAAGTGATATAATTCAGCTAATCATTAAGCTTTTTAAATTATGAACTACTATGCATTGTTCCAGTAGAAGATAAGATTAGAGAGAGTCACCTTAGATAAGCTTTTTAAAAGGTTGGAGTAGCTCCAGTAGAAGATAAGATTAGAGAGAGCGCCTTAGAAGGTTTGGTCACATAAAACGACGGCCTTCCAATGACCTGGTTAGGAGAGTAGATGTATTAGATTTGACTTATGTTAAGAAAGGTAGAGGCAGAACTAAAAAGACTTGGTCAGAAAATATTTAGAATGAGCTTTCTTTATTAGATTTAAACGAGAATTTGACCTTTAATAGGACACAATGGAGAAAAAGGATTCATGTAGCCGACCCCATGTAGTGGGATAAAGGCTTGATGTTGTTGTTGTTATTGTGCATTGTTCATTTAAACTAATATTTAGGGTTTTATTATTTTTACAAATTTACATAGTTTTTAATTATCATTTTTATTTTGGCTAAGTAAAAAATTAAAGTGCAATTATATGTAGAGGATAGCATATAATAGTTTAAGCATAAAATAATTTAATCAAATATAAATAACAAAATTACACAATGCAAATTAATAATAAATAAACATAACTAAACAAAATAAA